GTCTATTTTTATACATGAGCTACATCACGCTTTCCTGTGGGCCAGTATTGTGAAGTGAGTCTGAGTTGTTTACACTGATGCCTTCCCTGCCAACCACAAGTCATGTACATAGTCTCTAGATGATACCACCCTTTTCCCCAGCTCCCAACCATGAGCTGGTTCTAGGCCTGTGTTATATGTTATATTTAGCCTTTTTATATATGACCTTTGATTTCTGTTGTTTGTAATTTAGCACAGTGTGCGCACCTTCACTGAAATATATCTGCATACATACATGCATATATGCGTATGTATGCATATATATTCATATACATATGTATATATATAATCTGTAGTTTCTGAGAGTTTTGCTAAAGGGGATGAGAGTCCTACAGCCCAGGAGAAAGATTGCATCCTTGCTAATAGTGTTTGCCACAAGTGTTAGTGAGTCTTCCTTATTACCATTTTCTCTTTGGGAGACTGAATGAAGAAGCAAAGCTTCTAGTGTTTGCTATTTCCATGGCAGCTAAGTGAGGGTCTTGGGATGATTTCCTGTGTTCCTCAAGCCGCACTTTGGGGCCCGCTCCGCAGTGTTAGCCCCTTTTTTGCCCATTGATGATATGTGTGCACCTGTGATGTGACAGTTATTCTTTGCATGACTTCTGTGTCAGGCTTGCAGCATTTGGGACAGGATGCTGGCCCCAGACCAGTTTATCTGAAGCTGCTTTGCCAGCTATGTTTCACTCCCATTTACTGGTACATCTGCTTTCTTGCTGTTTTTCCTTGCTTTCTCTTGGGAGAGGATGGGGCTCTAGCCAGGCCCAGGTTGAGATGAGTTGCAGCAGGCTCATGGCCTTTTCCCCTGCATAGCCTTCTTAGAGCAGAATGAGTGGTGTGTTATTTTACTAAGTTCTGAAACATTTATGCAAGCAATACTCCCTGTAGATCCCCAGACAGGCTCAACAAAGTTTGACTTGCCCACAAATATACAGCTGCTAGAAGTAAATCAGGCCAGCACCGCTTCTGTTTAGCAGTAGGAATTGGCTATGAATTGCTAGCACTTTCTTTTTTTAAGCAATTGCTTTTTTACTTATTTCTCAAACTGAAAGTGCAGAAGGTATACTTATTTCCCAAATATAGACTAAAATCTGTAGCTGCCATGATGCCATTGTATAGCTCTGCCTTCTTAGAGTGGAAGGACTTTTAGAAACCAAATGATCTGAGCTGTTATTGCACACTGCTGGCTTTTTAGGGCAGAAAACTCATGATAGGAGTAATTGTTTAGTGCTTGGAACTTTAGGTTAACAAGAAAGGCTGCATAACTTAACATCTGCAACCAGAGCAGCCACCAAGCCTGACTTGCCCAGCAGCAGGAAAATAAATGATTTGTATTTGAGTTCCTGTTTGTCCAAAACTGAGGCACCATTTCTTTGAAAACATACCATTTTATGACCTCTAATTCTGGGCCCTGTGGCTGCAAAGCTGTCCTGAGATGGGAAGGAAAGGAAAAACATGCAGTTAGAAGTGATTGGAAATGATATGGTGATGGGAATGATGCAGAATAAGATCAAAAAGAGGCTACGTGCTGAGCCTCAATGCTTAGATGCCTCAGTAGAGGCTAGAGGTACTCAAGCTCTCCTGTAGGGAGGAACTGCTCACCACCTTAAGAGTCAGGGCCAAAGCCACTGTTTTATATTTAATAGCGACACTGCACTGCTCAACCACCAGCCAGAAGAGTTCTTTTTTTTTTTTAATTTCCTATTGCAATTGTAATTACTGCTTATTAATGAAAATTTGGGAATTTTACAAAGAATCAGTTTGCCACTCAAATGCTACCATTGTTAATCTTTTGGTGTTAAATGTTCCTCTAGACATTTCTGTGCATAGATTTTTGGTGTGTTTACACAGTTGTTATTCTACTGTATATACAATTTTATGTCCCTTTTGTACTTAACATATAAACATTTTTTCCATGTTAACAGTGTTAAACAGAATTTTATGGCTACAGCCTCTTCCACTGAATTTCTATAGCATGGTTTGCCTGGTTTCCAGAGTTGGAGAGTTGGGTTGTCTTCTATAAGTTCTGGCTCACACTGGAGCTTACTGGAATGGATTATTGAGTTTCCTGCGACTGCTCCTGACTGCCCCCTGGTAACTAAGTCTGGTGGGATGGTGGAAGGAACCCCTACCCAACCTTCAACCCCAGGTTCTAACAAACCAGCCATAAGGCCAGAAATGAGTGAATAGGAAAGGCAAGGCTGAGCCAATTTTGATCTTCAAAGATGTATCCGGCACTTAACCTCAGGATGCCTTGCATCCCCCACTGGTTGCCTCTAACCCTTGATCAGATAGGCAACTTTTAGTTGGAAAAAGTTTTCATCTCGCTAGGCTCTGGCTTCTGGAGGACAAGGACAGTGGGGCCTCTTTGAGGCTCCTGTACCAGGTCTGGCAGAAAACCTGGCCAGCTGCTTGGTAACCCACTGCTTGGCTGGTGGATTGTACCTCTTGGAGTCTGATGCTCTAGCTCAGCATCCTCAAAGCTGCAAGACCTGTTGCCTGGCCCTCTCTGAATCAGAAAAGAAAACCTTGGGTTTGCCACATTGCCTGTGGTCATTGAGGTTGGTTAGGGATTCTGGCAGAGGGAACATCCTGGCTTGTGTGGTAGGGTAAGCATAGGAGGATCTCCTGACTACTCAGGAGATCCTCTCTGCCTGGTGGGAGGAGTGCTGCAGCGTTTGGCTCTGCTGGGAGACATGAACAAGTAGGTCAACACGGCTACCCTTGTAGCAGCCACTCCTTCCTCTGGACTGCTTGTTAACTGAGACCCACTGCACTGACTCTAGGCTCTGGCCTCGTGAGGACCAGAGGCTAGGTTGGAACTAGGCAAGCAGGCTATGGGGGGTGAACCATAGCAGTTGATGTGGGTAAGAAGCAAGCACAGGATGCTGCCTACACTTTTTTACTTTGCTTGGGGAGGAGGGGGAGGTCAGTACTGAGGAAAGAGGAAGTCAAACTCCTACAAGCTCGCAGGGCAGTACTATGTTTGCCTGCTTCCTGTCTGAGGGAACCCTGGAGAGGATACTTAGAGTTTCAAGGGCCAACAAGCTTGTCAGGGCCCAGCTGTAGACAGGTTCAGGCCTAGAAGTCTTGTGCCATGGAATGTATAGCTATGGGAAATGTCTAATGTTGCAGTTTTTCCTATTTGCCTTGGGAGAGTAAATGAAATCTACAATGAGTAGGTGAGCAAGAAATGCAAGAGTTGAGAGCTGCTCAGATGAATAAAATATAGAAGTTTTACCATCCACCATGGAGCCCACTAGTTCTCTTTCCTGGCTGTAATTTAGGGCTGAATTGCCTGGTAAGAATTCACCTCAGTCGTACACTATAAAGTCGGGGTGATTCAGGGAAAAGTCAGGTAAAGCTGAGGTTATGAAGCTGATTCGCCTTGTAGTTCAACAAGTAACTTCCTGAGGACTTGAGCCTTGGTGAGTTCAGGTGATAATGGTCTTACAGAGAGGATAAACTAAGCTGCTCATCAAACAATAAGCCCCAACTAAGTCTAAGTCTAGCGTTATAGAAGTTTGCATTCAAAAGTAAGTGAAAAGGAAGCAGGGTGTGTGGTAGCTAACGCCCTATAATCACAGCACTTTGGGAGGCTGAGATGGAAGAAGCGCTTGAGGCCAGGAGTTTGAGACCATCATGGGCAACATAGCCAGACTCCCGTCTCTACAAGAAATTAGCCAGGCATGGTGATGTAGTCCCAGCTACTTGGGAGGCTGAGGCAGGAGGATTGCTTAAGCCCAAGAATTTGGGGCTGTCACTGAACTCTAGCCTGGACAACAGATTGAGACTCTATCTCTAAAACAAAATAAGAAAAACAACAAAACACCCAAGTAGGCTC